TACACATTTTAAAAATAAGTTTTGATTGAATTAAACCCAGTCATTCTGAATTATCAAGTTAGAGCAGAATTCCTCCTATGGAATCTATTTCCCATACTTAGATTTTCTGACTTTAAGGAAGATGATTGTTTGATTGAATTCAGAATTTAATTGAGTAAGGAGCAACTAGTCACTGCACGTCAGCTCTACCATTAGGACTGACCTATTGGTTATTGCTTACCTAGGGCTTCTTAACCCAGCTTTATGGATGGTTGTTGCGGTTACGTGTATGTGGGTTGTTTAGTCTGTCTGGTTTGGTCTAGGTGTTATAAGTTCTAATGTGCAGGGTATATTATATCATAAAGTGATTTTAAAAGTAAGAGTCACAGAGAAGACATGAAAAAGAAAACGGGACTTGAAGGACCAGAAAAATAAGTATGAATAAATAATGCGTTAGAGAGAAAATAAAAATGAAGGGTTCTTATGGAATCATTTGATAAATCATTTTATACTACCTCCTTCACATCATCATTAAACCATTCTCTCATTTCTTTTTTTTTTTAAAGATTTTATTGGGGAATTGAGGGAGAACAGCATTGGGGAATCGGGGAAAGGGAACAGTAAGTTGCTGTCCTTTTGTTCTTCTGTCTAGTTGTGGAGGACGTTGCTTCACTGGCCCATGTTGGTATTATCATTGTGCTCTTCCCGGGTGAGGCAGTTGCTCGCCAGCCATTGGACGGCCACTCACGGCAGCTCACGCTAGCTCACACCAGCTGCCTGCTGCTCACACTGGCTGCCAGCCACTCACGGTAGCTCACAGCAGCCCCACTGCAGCAGGGACTGCAGCCTACACTGTCACCAGCGACTCACGGCAGCCTAGCTCCAGGTTGAGCTATTGTTCACCATCTTAGCTGTAGAGTGTGCAGCATCACTGGCCCATGTGGGATCTGAACCGGGGCCCTGCTGCTCAGAGCTGGTGTCCCAAGCCAACTCTTAACCAATGTGCCACTTGGCTGACCCTCAGTTTCTCATTTATTAAAACAAGATTTAAAAAAATAAAAGGACTTTTGGATAGAATGATGTTGTAAGTCAGAAAATATTTTCCTGAATTTTCCTCATATTGTCTCTATCTCTGGTCTCTATCTGCCTCTAGTGTCTTAGTTGTAATTACCTGAAATAATTTTAATATCTCAGGGTTCTAATTTTCAGTTAATGCTAATAATGAAAATTCTCAGTTATAACTGTAGACTGTTGACCCATTTCAGTGTCCTATTGGATGTAGGGAATTAAGTGGAAATGAAACAGTAAGAGCTAACAGCAGAGAACTTGCGGAAGAACAGTAAGAATGGTTTATTCACCTGTCCAGGTAAAGGTATGGAGTTCAGAAAACTTGCCAGCATCTAAAAGTAACAGCCATAGAACCTGCTACAAGGGATTCTGTTTCTTGAGGCTTTCTCTGTGTCTTCAATCACTTTAAAGACTTTCTTTTTCAGTTTAAACCTTAATTGAAGTGGTAATTGTGGTCCTACATGTTTATGAATTTCTAATTCTGTAGAATGTTTTTCTTTAAAAATAATTCCATGAAGAATTTATCACCTGGGAGTTTTTTCTTGAATATATCAGAAATGTCGCAATTGGGTTTATTTAAAATAAATTATTTGCTAGGGCAGTGGTTTTCTAACTTGGGGTAGTGTATCAGAATCATCTGGAGGGATTTTTAAAACATCGATTGTTTGGGTACCACACCTGTATTTCTGGCACAGTAACTCTGGGGTGAGGCCAGCGAATTTTCATTTCTAGTAAGCTCCCAGGTGATGCTGAAACTGCTGGTTCTAAAACCATTCTTTGAGAACCGCTGCAGTACGGTATTAACACATGCCAGAGACAGAGCTGAAGCTCATCTGTGCTTGAAGAACAAGCATCTATACCTATTGGATGGGTACCCACAGTGATCACTGAATGTAGTGTTATCTTTACTTTCACAGATTGGAGCATATGATCAACAAATATGGGAAAAATCTGTGGAACAAAGAGAAATTAAGGTAATAAGTTTATTTCATTTTGTATATTCTGAAATATAGTTTTGTAAATTGATTATTCACCATATTTTATTTAATATCTTTCTGTATCCTTTTAAGGTACAAATTAATATTACTTATTCTACCCAAACTTTTAAATAAAGAAGGTAAACTCTTTTATGATGTCATAGTTCTGTATCTTTACCTCTGATTTCCTTATCTTTGCTTTTTAGCATCTTTCTGTTCTTCTAAATTTTAATTTTTAATGATTATTTTTTGTCAGCTCTTTTTCCCTTTCACTTGTCACCTTATACTTCTAGTTTGCTTTTCCTCCTTTTTGATGCTGTCATTGCTCTGTACAGTTTATTAAACTGGTAAGTGTTTTTCCTGCCTGAGTGATCCTGCGCAAATGCTGCTCTGCTTAATTGAGATCCGCTTTTTGGTGCTACTAACAGAATGACTTGGACGCAAATAGAGTCGCTGAAAAGTTGGTCATTTTAAAAAAGATTTTAGAGAAATAAAGCATTAATGAAACTGTTTTTGTTGTAGGTAGTTTCTTCTTGAACATGTAATCACTTAAGATTCTCATAGGCTTCCTTGCTAGCATGAAAACTATTTTTTAACTAAGTTTATTGTTTCTCAGCAATCTTTTTGGTAATAAGATTTATATTTTCCATTTGCATAGGTAATACTAATCAGTGTGTTCCTGCACAAGCTAAATTTAATCTGGGCCCAGAGAATGTTTAGTTGCTTGACATTTTTTGTACAGAAAGGTTTACATTAACTTGAAAACCAATGTCCCAGTTACTTAAAAATCTGTCCAAAAAAATCTGTGTTTAGACAATTTAGTCATTTGTAATGAAGAGCAAGATTCTTTTCCATTTGTTAATTTTAATCTTTAAACTATTTTCATGAAGAATTAATACAGTTAACAAAGTATCAGTAAGTACCTACTATATATTAAATATAGGATTAAATCATGGGGATAAAATATGAAATAGATTCCAATTTTGTAGATGAGATATATAATTATAAATGAGACTAATCCAGTTAAGAGAGGAATGTGTAAGTCTTTTTAGGGAAGCGCAGGGGGAAGCAGCGCTGGAGAAGTTAGGAAAGATTTCACAAAGGAAGTGACTCATGAGCTAAATTTGAGAGTCATTAGGGAGAATGAGGAAAACATTACAGACAGAATGAAGAGCATATGAAAATATATGTAAAGGAAGGAAGAAGCATGACTCTTCAAGGAGCTTGATTGGTAATAGGTTAGATACTGGAAGAAGATTAAGCTGGTTAGTAGTAAAACTAGAAATGGAAATGGAAATCAGATCATGAAGGGGCTTGACTGCCTTATCCAAAAGTCTAGATATTATCTGGAAAACAGTGGGGGAGACATTGAAGGATTTTAACCAGAAACGGTTACCAGATTATATTGTAACAGCTTTACTCAGGTAGCACCAAGCATGATGGGAAATACTAGAAGGAGAGCAAATAAAGAATTCTGTTTTAGAAATATCCAGGTGTACTTAGGTGAGAGATTTAGGAGTCCTCAGTATGTAAAGTGTGGTGTGTGTGTGTGTGTGTGTGTGTGTGTGTGTGTGTGTGTGTGTGTTCTACGCATTATATAGATACAGCTATAGGAATGAGTGGATTTACATTGAAAGATGAAAGAAGAAAGCTGAGAATGTAACATTGGGAAACATCAATACGTATTTAAATGAAGGTGAAGGAAGAGGTAAAGAAAAGATTCAAATGAAGGAGGAAGAGAAGTAAGGATCCATGAGACGATAGTCTAGCGAGAGGGTCATGAATAGCTGGAATACTCAAGCAAATAGAGAGCAGTGGAGAGGTCTAACAACATGCCTTAAAATCTTTTATTCTTTTTGACAGTCTTTAACTCGGACAGAGAACATTAAGTACTTTGAGAGGCTGTGTTACCAGTTGGTACATTTGGATGTTTTCTTGCAATTTAAAAACCTAAATATATACATA